AAGGAAAGGAAAGGAAAGGAAAGGAAAGGAAAGGAAAGGAAAGGAAAGGAAAGGAAAGGAAAGGAAAGGAAAGGAAAGGAAAGGAAAGGAAAGGAGGAGAGTAAAGGAGGAGGGGAGGGAAAGAGAGGAGAAAAGGGGAAAGGGAGGGGGGAAGAGGAAAGGAGAAGCAAAAGGGATAAGTTAAGGGAAGGGAAATAAGAGTAAAGGAGAAGGGAAAGGAAAGGAGAGCGAAGGGAAAGGAAGAGAGTAAAGGAAAAGGGGAAGAGAAGGGTGAAAAGAGGAAAGGGAAGGGGAAAAGAAAGGGAAGGGGAAAAGAGGCAAAAGGGAAGGGAAAGGAAAAATAAAGGAGAAGGGAAGGGAAAAATGAGTAAAAGAGAAGGGGAAAAGAGAGAGGGAAGGGAAGGGGAAAAGAGAGGAAAGGGAAGGGGAAATGGCAAAGGAAAAGGGAAGGAAAAAGGAGAAAGGAAATAAAGGGAAAAAAGAATGTAAGGGGAAAGACACAAAGGAAAAGAGGAAAAGCAAAGGGAAAAGGGAAAAACAAAAGGAAAAAATAAAAAGGAAAAAGGGAAAATCATAGAAAAGGGGAAAAAGAAACAAAAAATAGGAGTTAAAAAAGTTAAAAAAAGGGAAAAAATGAAAAAGGGAAAAAATGAAAAAGGGAAAAAATGAAAAAGGGAAAAAAAAAAAGGATAAAAACCTTTCTAAAAAGGAAAAGGTGTGAGAAAAAAAAAACAGAAAAGGGAGAAAAAAGCCCTGGGCAAAAGAGCGGGCCTCCGAGGGCAGGCGTGAGGAGGCGGCGGGGCCCTCAGTAGGGCGAGAACCTGGGCTTCTCCGCTTTGAGTTTGTTAGTGGCGGCGCAGGGCAGGGCCGGGCCGGCGGCGGCGGCGGTGGCAGCGGTGGCCTTAGCAGCAGACACGACATTTAGCGCCAGGAGAGGGACGGGTTTCATGCCAAGCAGACTGGAGACACAAGGGGCGCCGGGCAGAGGGCTGGGGGCCGCGTCGGGCGCCGCCGCGGGGGCCGCGGTGGCGGTGGTGGTGGTGGTGGAGGAGGAAGAAGAAGAAGGGGTGGAGGGTTGAGAGAGGTTGATGCTGAGGTGGTGGTCAGGGATCGCGGCCGAGGCTGCCTGGGAGGAGGGTTTAGCGCTTTCTAGACTGTAACAGAGGAGAAAACAAAGGAAAAAAAAAAAACACAAAA